TTGTTGAATATCTCAAAGGGGATTCCCAGAGCTTTGTTTTTCACCAATTCCTTCAGTGCAGCTTGGACTTCCTCCTTTAATACCATGGGTTCTTGATCATAGTCTACCTCCCTAAATAACTGAACATTGATAAATTCTTTTTGGTACAGTGACTCTGTGTATTATTCCTTCCCTCTTCTTTTGATGACTCCTGCATTGTTCAATATTTTGCCCACAGAATCCTTTAATATTGCAATTTGAGGCTGACCTTTCCCTTTACTGCTTTTTTAAAACATCATTTTCTTTTATCCTTGCCTTCTTTCATACTCTGTTGTTATTAATACTGGTTAAATGTTACCATAAATATGAAGTAATAAAGCTAGAATATTAATATGATATTTTGTCAGTGTTTTAGGTACTGGGATTAATGATAGTATGATAGAATGTGATTACCTGTCATTTTTAAGGATGGTTTGAAGCAGACTCAGTGTACTGAATATTAAATTTTATCTAAATAAACATATATCAGTTGATTATTCTGTAAGGCACTCACTGGCCATTCATTCATCCTTCCATTCTAATTTATTCATTTTCAAATTTTTCTTTATTATCAGCTGTGGGTTAGGCCAAGTACCAGGGGGATGAATAATGAGCCAAACAAAGTCCTTGTTTTCATTAAAACAATAAAAATTAGATTCTAAGTATAAAATAGGTTCAATAAAGTTTTTTGATAAGTTTATTCAGCCAATCTAAAAAAATTATTGCAGGGATACAAAATTCAAATACCTAATAGGATAAGGCATAAAAAAAGTAAAAAAAAAAAGATTCTGGGTATTAATACACGTGTGCGCACGCACACGCACACACACACATACACAGATTTTGGGGCTTTTATTTTCCCATTTTTGTATTGTGTTGTTGTTGTTGTTATGTGCCATCATAGAGATATGAATACTGAGGAGTATTTGTCTCCTGTGAATAAAGCAAGAGCACAATAACAAAAAAACAAGGCAAACTCCACTTTAGTTAGGAAGAAAAGAAGAAGTGGTGAAGGTGGTGTCTTCTCTGAAATGCGTCAACATCTGAGGGGTAGATGCTAGATGACTGTAACCCTGGAGGAATTTCATCACAATTTTCCTAGATTTTCTAATTTCTTAGAAATTTAGCAATTTTACTTTTTAGGTAAAATTTCTAGATTTCCTAGTGTTGGTTTGGATTAAAACAAACTCTTAGTTTGTCAAAGGTAACATCTTGACCGATCATACTGGGCCTATGTTTTCAAAGAAGTTTTCAATCTTCTTGAATTTTTCTGCTCAGAAATCCTATAATGTGATTTATACAATTTTATAATGATACTTTTGCTATGTTACCAAATTGTAATTTTGAGACCTTTAAAAAGTTACATGTGAAAGAAAGAATCTTCCTCTTGGAATTTTTTAGACTGGTGATTTTACAAGGCGATGTTCTTTGCAATAAGTTATCTTTGTTAGTTATATTTTAATATTTTTAAGTAAAATCTATAGTTTCATAAACTGTATAATTTTTTAGTGTTAGAGTGTAACACGTGTGGTAGTTCAGTTTGTGTGTCAAGTTGGCTGCTTGAATGGCTGGGCAGCTGGATGTAGTATTATTCCCCATGATAACACTGGTAATCAACTCCATGATGGAATCCACTGGGAACAGCTGAGTAGCTGCCTTAGGGAATGTGGTCTGCTTCCTATATATATGCAGAAGTCTTGGGGAATGGTCTCTAGCCTATGGCATACTTGGACCCTGCATGTAGCTGTGTTGTTGTTCAGCAGCCTGACATGCTCTGCCGACCTTGGGACTTACAATGGACTTAAATTAATGGCCTGTCATATGGTTTGGTAACATCAGGACTGTGCCTTTTTATTTGTCAACCTTGGGCTTGTCAGCCTCAGCAGCCAGCAGCTAGCTGTCTGAGTGAAGAAATGCCAGCCCCTAGAGCCTGATGCTTTGCACTTGGACTTAAAGCCTTCAAATAGTAAGAGAATAAACTCCTGTTTGTCAAAGCCATCCCATTTGTGGTATATTCTTGTCAGAGTGGCACTAGGTAACCAGAACAACATGTTTTATGCTCAATGTTAATAAGAGCAGTATTCTGAATTTTATAGTACCTAATATTTCTTCTCCAGGGCCTCAATTTGATTTGCTGACATGGCACAATTCAAATTGAGGCCCTGGTAAAGGATGTCATGCATGGTAAGGTGGAGGGTTGACGAAAGAGGGAAAAGGCCCTCAAAGAGATGGATCGACACAGTGGCTACAGCGATGGGCTCCAGTATAGCAAGGACTGTGGAGCTGGCGTGGCACAGGGCAGTGTTTTGTTCTGCTATGCATAGGGTCGCTTTGAGTTGGAGACAACTCAACAGCACCTAACAACAACAATAACATCCTCCATGAAAAGAACTTTTTTTTTTTTTAGTGCTTTAATTATTTTATGAAGGACAACCATGTACAGTTGTGTGGGTTGTGTACTATATAACTTCAGAAGGTTTGTTTTGCATCGACTATGATATAAATGCAGTCCTTGGGTGCTGTAAATGGTTAACATGCTTGCTTACTAAGCAAGAGGTTGAAGGGTTGAGTCTACCTAAATGCAACTTGGAAGAAAAGCCTGGCAATCTGTTTCTGAAAACCAGCCAATAAAAGCCCTATGGAGCACAATTCTACTCGGACACACATGGGGTTTCTATGAGTCTGAGTTGACTGGAGACAACCAGTTAAATCAGACTTCAAATTTGTTTAACTAGTTAAAGTTCACTTTAGACCAAGGCTTCAAACCAGCGCGCATCAGTTCAGTCATGGCCAATGCAGCAACACTGGAACACATTCCAATTTGCAGAATGTGTGTGTACTGGAGTGATAACTTGGAATGGGAAAAACTACTGGTTGAAGCCATGGAAGGGCTGACTTGGTAGAAGTGTAGTGAGTCCTTTCAAGAGTCATTGCAGGAGACTGGATTCTTCCAGGACTCTGGAAAGCAACACGCATTCAAAGTAGTGTGGTCAGCTGCCACACTGACCATAATACTGAAATGGGTATTATGGTTTCCAACTCTGTTGATCAAGAGATTTTGTTGCTCTGCAATGCACATGATACCCTTGTTTGCTAAGAGGGAGGTTAAGTTCCTAGCCCTGATTTAGACTTGTACTATTCAATTTAGTTATCACTAGCCATATGTGGATATTTTAATTTGAATTAATTAAAATGAAAATTAAGTTCTTCATTCACACCAGATGCATTCTGAGTACTCAATAGCCACATGTACCTAGTGGCTATGATATTGAGCAGTGCAAATATAGAATATATTTATTTACCATCACAGAAAATTCTAGTGGAGAACACTGATACAGAGTAATTACTCTTGTTTATTTCAAATGTATGATCTTTTTCTTCTTGAGACATTCTCAGGCTTCATGAAGGTAGTTTTATCTAAATATTATTTTGTGTATCTTTAAAAATTGAGTATAATGATGCTGTACATTTTGACATCATGTTTCAGTTGTAATGGTTTAAGTCAGAATATAGTACCCCAACAAGCAGCAGCACTGGACCAAACAAGAGCAAACCTAAGTCATAGCATATTTCTTTTATGTGTTTTTCCCAGTATATTCCTCACTTCTTTATCTACTTTCCTAAAACAGTAGGTTGATCTGAAAAGTAACAGTAATTTCTTCATTTATATAACCCTCTGACAATTTTAATCATTAAAAGAACAATGATAGGACAAATAGTATCTATGCCAATGGTAATCTGATTTCAATGACAATTTAAAGTTACTTAAGATTTACTTATAAAAAGAGGGCCATAACACTTGAACCATATGAAAATGAACAAATAGGCAGTATTGTCCTTAATGCTGAATTGGTGAATTGCTCAGTGACAGTCAAGACTATGAACTTTCCAAGAAATTTTCAATACAGGATTAAGGATTATTCACCAGCACTCGAGTATCTCCAAGATTCAGTGAACTGCTTTTAAATTCACTTCACCATTACCTTGTTATTGTTGTTATGTGCCGTCGAGTTGGACCCGACTCATAGTGACCCCTCTTGGGTTGCCGAGGCAGTATCACTAAGGAAGTAGATTGCCCAACCTTCCTTCTGAGGAGTGGCTGGTGGGTTTGAACCACCAGTCTTCTGGTTATCAGTCAAGTGCCTTAGGCACTATGCTACCAGAGTTTCTCATCATTACCTTGTTGTTGTTGTTGTTATGTGCCATTGAGTCAGCCCCGACTCATAGCGACCCCTCCTTGGGTTTCCAAGGCAGTATCACTACGGAAGTAGATTGCCCCATCTTCCTTCTGAGGAGTGGCTGGTGGGTTTGAATTGCCAGTCTTCTGGTTAGCAGTCAAGTGCCTTAGGCACTATGCTACCAGAGCTCCTTAGTAGGTATTAAAGAATATTCTTAAAAAAAAAAAATTGTCAAGTATTTTTTTTTATAAAGTTGAAATTACATTAAGTGGGCAAAACATCTTGCCACACAATAGGAAAATCTGAACATCAATATTTCTCTCTTAAGAATTTTTTTTTAGTGTTTCCCATCACACTCTAGTCCAAAAGATCTATTAAAAACCATTTTTTTTTGTTTGTTTTAGTCCCTTTAGGGCTTTATCTTTTGGCACTATTTTTTAAAAAATATGAACTTAAAAAAATAAAATAGACAAATTAATCATGCAACATCAATTATCAGCCATGACCCATGGAACTAAAAACTAGCCTGAGAAGCAGAGTCTAAATGTCAAAGACTCCGAATTAGACCTCTATTGCTTTTATGAAATTAACTTTTCTACCTAGTCATTGATTATAATGAGTATGCTATAATGAAAGGACATAACGGTAAGGCACAGAAGAGTTGGTACAATACTCTGTTTAATGGGTGCGCAGTAACATAGTGTAACCATTATGTCACCGTGAAACTTCTATGTAAATGTTAATTATTGAATAATCTCTGTGCTTTGCAAAAGCAAAAGCTTTTTCTTCAAAACCAATACTTACTGTCGAATAAAGAGAAGAAGTGCTGGAGACGAGCGACAATGAAGAGCCATGAACTGTTGAAAGCAAAAGAAATAAAGGTTGGATCAAGTTATAAAGTCTACTTATAACCCCAGCTTGTTATAGAAAATGTGAAGAACAGATGGTTAAGGAAATAAAATAATAACAATGAGTTCTACGAATCTGAGAAGAAGTCTGCTGGTGTTTTTAGAGATCAAAATGTTGAAACATGGAAAGTTCCCATAGATATCCCACAAAGTACTTCAATCACTATGTTATAGGTTGGTTGACAAGCATGAGCCCAATAAGTATGTTTTGCACATATTGAAAATTACAGCAATTAAACTCAAATATAATAACCCAAAAATTGGAGAAATTAAAATGAAAGTTGGTATGAAAAATAACATTTTTCGTATTTTGGTTTCAGTTTTACATAATAAAGATTCATTTTCACAACTTTTTCCCCATATACTTTCAAAGAAATAAGTATTTTATTCAGTTTATAATTTCAACAACATCTGCAATGAGTTTTTCATATTTTTTTACTTGTAGGATTATTGGTCCTTAGTAATTTTAGTAATAATAAAAAAAAGACTTCTTAGTTCAAGAAGTATCTCAGTGAAATTAAAAATGAAAATTATACTCACATACTGTCTTTTGGCTGTGTGTATCAAAATACATTCCTTAGCAGTTAATACCATACTTTAACTTTATAATTTTACAATTCCAATATATGTATTTTAAAACCCAAAAGTGGATAAAATTATGTTTTACAGTATTTGCTGAAAAATTCTTCTTTTCCTCATGTGATACCACACAGCTGCATCTGCTTATTCATTCAATAAACAAATATTAAACACACACAAGGTAGCAGATTCCTGCTAGGTCATGGGACAAGAAAAATGAATGACACATAACCCCAAGAGCTTAAAAAGAAATAGAAAGATATTTAACTAAACAGATACTTATAATAGGATAGGATAAATGTTATCAGGACTAATCACACACTGAGTACTATAAAAGTACATGGGAGAAGTTCACACCCAGGTCTAGAGAGGGCTGTGGAAGCTGCACTAGGATGGTGGCAATGGGAATGAAAAGAAAGGGATGCATTTTAGAAATATTCTAAGAACTTCTTTAAGACAGATTAAATGCGGAGGTGCAGTCAGAGGTAGAGTGAAAGACCACTGGATCCCTAGCTTGGACAGATACTACCACTCTATGAGATGTGCAAAATGTTAAGTCTTTGAGTCAATTACCCTCACCCCTACTCCTCATAAAACTCCATTCTTTCAGCCTTAACACTGGTATGAATTTAAAGTGTTAGCCTACTGTATCAGAAGGAAGGTACCCAAGGACTCGGACCACCTTTCCATTCTTTTTCTGTTATATATTATTTGTAGTTCTTTTATGACCTTATAGCTTGTGGCTCAATCTCCTTATTTGTTAGTGTAAGCACTAGGTGGTTATCACTAAGATATTTTCCATCTCTGTAGTTTTTTTTTTTTTTGATTACAGACCACAATGGAAGAATTATAATGTATCAGTATTTAATGAGTGGACATCAAAAGACCATCTCATGAACTCAGGCATCTAGCAATTCAGACTACTCACGTTTATACATGGAAGGCCAGAATTTCCCAGCATATAAACAGCATTCTATTTGTAAATGAAGCACTCTATGAAGCTATCAGTATGCTTAGCAAATTATTTTTACAATATTCTAAGAAGCCTGACTGTGAAGAGAGCGACAGAACCACTTTAGAACAATAATGATGTTCTATTTCAAATTATCTGCATTGCAGTAATCAGCAGACTCTCAGGGTATATAATTCACTATCTGTCACAGTGAATGCAGTGGTTTGGTTAATATCCCAATGGTAGTGGCAACTGTGGTAGACACACATGACTAGTGCCAGCATGGTAAATGTAGACTGATGATCTGTAAAACTTGAGTCAGTTTTCATTAATTGCCTAAACTTTTATTCAGAAGATATTTTTAATAAGAATATAGAAAGAGGGAAAAACAGAACTATTTTTTTAATATACTTTTATTCTTACAACGAACCTGTGAAGTTATAGATATACAAACTAGAGCTAATAAAGTTAAGAAACTTGTCCAAGTTCATACCACAAATGAAAGGCTTAAATCCTACTCTATTTCAAGGTCTGGAGAGTTTTCTTTTATAATTAACTCTTTAGCCTAGAATACTATGATTTCATGTCTGGTTTTATTCTGATCAGTTTGAATTTTTATGTTTAGTTTTATTTTATGCTTAGCTGACATACTTCATAACATGTATACCACAATTTTCCTTTTGATCTACTTGAGAAAATCATTCATTATGTCACAGAGGAAAATCTGTCAAATCATTATTAGCAAATTTGACACTTGAGGCTATATATTTTAGAAAAATATATACATTAACATCAATTAGACTTCTTGAGCTTTTCAAATGGACTTATAAAAAATTTGCAAAGAATTTTGCAATTATGAACACATTTATGTTTAGTAGGTCAGACAACTATATTGCTGTCAGATAAAGAAACATGACTTACAAAGGAAAAACTAGATATGATACGAGTTTTAAAATGTTGTATTAATAGCAACAACTTCAACAAATTAACACTAGAGGGAGTTTCTAAGAAGGAAAATAGGCAACTAGTGATAGTTTCACAGGAGGGTTTTTCTGATTTATGTATCTCTTTGGTACTTTAACTGGAGTGCCAAAATAAACATTGGGTCTAATATTTGGCACTCTAAGGAGCTCTGGTAGCATAGTGGCTAAAGCACTTGACTGCTATACAGAAGGCTGGCGGTTCAAACCCACCAGCCACTCCTCGGAAGGAAGGTTGGGCAATCCTGCTTCAGTAGTGATACTGCCTCGGAAACCCAAGGAGGGGTCGCTATGAGTCGGGGCTGACTCGACGGCACATAACAACAACAACAACAACAACATGGTGAATAGTGTCTAAAATTATGTGCTCCTATATAACAATGAATTTGTCCTGCACTACTCTATAACCATGTATGAAATCTAAACAAGTTCTCTTTGCATATTTCAAAATGCATAAAAAAACAAGATAATGCAGAGAAAAACTCTGTCAAGTTTCAGGACTCCTCAAATGAGAACATATTTATTTATTGTCAAGGAATCCTTATGATGTGATCTGTACCATGGTTTTCATCTCAGCATTAAATAAAGTCATTTCCTCTTTATTTCCTTTCTCACCTACCTTCCTCCATGCTGTCTCTGAAAGAACCTGAATGACTGATGGCACGAGGCCTTTCCTCTAGAGACGTGGCACTCCCACAAAGCCGGGAGTCATCATAAAGGTCAAAGGAAGAGTCCTGAGCTGGGATGCTGTTGGAGCGCATCATGCTGGGCCCAGGCAGGTTAAATTGAGACAGATTGGTTGGACTCACTGAAAAACAAAGCACACACATCTTATTATTCTGGGGCTTGAATCATGAAAAGAGTAGGTTGAGAGAAAGTGAGAATGTGATTCCAATGCTTATAAAAACATGCATTTATATGGTCTCTAACCAAGGTATATCAAGAGTCTGCCTCTGAAATGTTCAATTAACAGTTACACTAGAGTTCCTCTTCTAGCATATTTATGGCAAGCGGCATATCAATTTCTAAAGCAACCACTAAATCACCTCTACTGTTCATGCTAGACACTTAATAACATAGTATTTGCTGCCTATTATAGAGAAAAGACTATCTTTATAGAGTCTGTAGGCTTCTTTTTAAAAAAGAATAATTAATGAGAAAAGCAAAATTTAAAAGAAAGTAAAATATAAAAAAATCTGTTGTTAATACAAATCTTTGGGTCCTTCCAGGTAAAACCATCATTTATTTTTAGTTTTGATGTTATGTAAGTTCTAATCAGGACTTAATGTCATCTTATTTCTATTGGAGTTAAATTATAAAAGACAAGGATAAAATAAATACCTTCTTTAAATGAAATACAGTGTAAAGTTCTTGGTATCTGTAAGCCTATCATAAGGTCAGCCAAAGAAAACTTCTATTGTGTCTATAACAAGAATATCACTCTAAGATGGATGAAAGTCACAACATACTGTGTTTCAAAAGTGGTATTTTAAGTCTATAATATAAAAAAATTTTCACTTTGCTAAATGGAATTTAACTTTTTAGGCTAGCTGATAATCAACAATTAAACAAATAAGTGGTTGAGTAGAAACCAACAGTTCTAAGGCTAACTGATAATCACCAATTAAACAAATAACTGGTTGACTGGAAACCAATAGTTCTAATACCTGAAGGAAAGCAAAACAGAAAATAAATTGAGAAATAAATCTATCATGAATGCTTATATTTAAGAAAGATAAGTTTGTTACAAGTATATGAGGAAGCAGGCAGGAAATTCTTAGGATATGAAGGAAATATTTTCAAAACACTGGATAATTTATGTTATTGGTTCTGAATTGATGGACTAGCATTTAAAATTTTGCTTATTTTCCTTTGACCCAAGCACTACACTTAATCTTAGTATATAATATAGTGACTTTCAAAATAATGCAACATAGGAGAAGTGTTTCCTAGAGTAACTAAAGGGGAATATCCACTATTTGTCACACATTGTGCCAGATACTTTACAGGTATTAATTGAATTAATTCATAGAATTAATTCATAGCCATCTCATATACCTAGTTACATTGTTGTTAGGTGTCATCAAGTTGGTTTCAATTCATAGCGACTGTATGTATAACAGCATGAAACACTGTCCAGTCATGCACCATCCTCACGGTCTGCTATGCTTGAGCCCATCACTGCAGCCACTGTGTCAGTCCATCTTGTGGAGGATCTTCCCCTCTTTTGCTGACCCTCCACTTCACCAAACATGATATCCTCCAGGGACTGCACCCTTCCAACAATATGAGCAAAGTACATGAGATGAAGTCTGGTCATTCTTGCTTCTAAGCATTCCAGCTGTAATTCTTCCAAGACAAAGTTGTTTCTTCTGGTAGTCCATGATATTTTCAATATTCTTCCCCAACAACACACTTCCAAAGCATCAATTCTACTTTAGTCTTTCTTATTCATTGACCAGCCTCACATGCATATGAGGCTATTGGAAATACCATGGTTTGCATCAAGTGTACCTTATGCAAGTGACATCTTGCTCTTCAACACTTTAAAGAGGTCTTTTGCAGAGATTTGCCCAGTGCAATATGTCTGATTTCTTGACTGCTGCTTCCATGGATGTTGATTGTGGATTCAAGTAAAATGTAACCCCTCACAACTTCAATCTTTTCTCCATTTATCATGGTGTGGCTTATTATTTCAGTTGTGAGGATTTTTGTTTTCTTAATGTTGAGGTGTAATTCATAATGAAGGCAGCAGTCTTTGATCTTCAACAGTAAGTATTTCAAATCATCTTCACTTTCAGAAATCAAGGTTGTGTCATCTATATATTATAGGTTGTTAATGAGTCTTCCTCCAATCCTGAGGCTGTGCTCTTTTTCATATAATCCACCTTCTCAGATTATTTGCTCATCCTACAGATTGAATAAGTATAGTGAAAGAATACAACTCTCACAAACACCTTTCCTGATTTTAAACCATGCAGTATTCCCTTGTTCTGTTCAAACAACAGCCTCTTAGACTACGTACCAGTTCCTCATGAGAACAATTAAGTATTCTGGAATTTCCATTCCTTGCAATGTTATCAATAATTTGGCATGATCCACACAGTAGAATGTCTTTGCATAGTCAATAAAACACTAGTAAACATCTTTCCGGTATTCTTAGCTTTCAGCCAAGATCCATCTAACTTCAGAAATGGTATCCCTGATTCCATGCCCTCTTTTGAGTCAAGCTTGAATTTCTGGCACTTCCTTGTCAATACACTGCTGCAATAATTTTAAAATTATCTTCACCAAAATTTTACCTGTGTGTTGTATTAATGATATTGTTTGATGATTTCCACATTCTGTGGGATCACCTTTCCTTGGAATGGATACATATATTGACCTCTTCTAGGGGGTTGGTCAGGTAGCTGTCTCCCAAATTTCTTGGCATAAACAAGTGAGTGCCTGCAGTCTGTTGTTGAAATATCTCAATGGGCATTCCATCAATTCCTGGAGGCTTGTCTTTCTTTCAATTCCTTCAGTGCAGCTTAGACTTCTTCTTTCAGTACCAATGGTTCTTGATTATATGCTACCTCCTGAAATGGTTGAACAGTGACCAATTCATTTTTGTACAGTGACATTGTGATTCCTTCCATCTTCCTTTGGTGCTTCCTGTATCATTCAATATTTTGCCTCTAGAATCCTTCAACACTGCAACTCAAGGCCTGGAGTTTTTTCTTCAGTTCTTTCAGCTTGAGAAATACTGAGCATGTTATTCTCTTTTTGTTTTCTAAATTCCTGGTCTTTGCACATTTCATTACAATACTTTGTCTTCTCCAGCCATCCACTGAAATCTTCTGTTCAGCTCTTTTATTTCCTCATTTCTTCCATTTCCTTTAGGTGCTTTCCTTTCAAGAGCAAGTTTCAGAGTCTCTTCTGACATGTAATTTACTCTTTCCTTCTTTTCCTATCTTTTTGATAATCTTTTGCTTTCTCCATGCATGATATTCTTGATTTCATCCCACAGTTTGTTATGGAACAAGGTAAAATAATAATAATAATAATAATAATGTGTAAGGAAACATGAGATGAAAAACTACACCTATATTTATATAGGCAAAATATAAAGAGAAAGGAAGAAGCCATTGGTGTGCCAAATGCAAACTCCATGGAAGAAAGGGAGGCAGGGAGAGAATGAAAGGGAAAGGGAGAGAGAAGAGATACTCATACTATTTAAGAAAATTCAATTAAGTTAATATCTATGAAGGGTGTGCTTTGTTGGTGCTGTGGGGAAGAGAAAGCTAAAAATGGCATGGTCCCTGACCTTAAAAGGCTAATAATGTAGTTGAGGTGGATGAAAGGCAGTAAATATATAAAATATACCAAGAACAGTTAATATAATAGAAGACAAATGTAAGACAGTAAAAGAAAATATCTATAATAGAGTACCACTTTGTACAGAGTGTCTAGTGGTAACTCTGCTTTCCATCGAACTGCAGGCAAATTTCCCAATCTCAACTCTAAGCTTCTTCATGAATCGTAATTTTTTTAAAATTGCAAAATAAATGACCCTAGAGATACTTCCAAAGGCAGGGAAAGCACTAGATTTTCTAAACTATAGACATATAGATGTAGTAATCTATAGAGCAAAGAGGGCTATGGACCTTGTCTTAAATTGCATTTTCACAGCAAAGCCACTGTTTGTAAGATTATATATTCATCTGTGGTGACTTTAGGAGAATAGGAACTGGCAGAGATGTGCTATTATATCTGAACATATATTCTAATAATTTTATAACACTGTTTTAAGTTAAAAAATTTATGTGGAATCTAATTTTATGTTGTGGAATAAGCAAGTTGAACTAGAAACAAGATGAAGATTCAGGAAAATTTTATTTGATCTGTTAAAAGAAGAACTTCAAAAGTGTACTATGTCTGGATTTAGGTAAGCTCCTTTAATTGGTGGCTTTAAAGTAGAAGGTAGAGATGTTATAAAAATTTACATAATAATTATATAAACTGTAACCCTATTCAAAATCTCAGATTTCAAATTGTTTGTGAAAGCAACTAAATTGTTTATCCTTGAAGTTTATAATATTATAAATTTGAACTTGTAAATTCACATTAACAAACCTTTGATGTAGTTGTTAATAGTATTGAATTTCTGTCTAAGATTTCCTATAAAAAGAACAATTCATAAAAATAGGAAATGGAAGGACTGAGTATAGACTACTCAACTAAAAATTAAAAAATAGACAATGAAGAAAAGATTCAGAATACTACTTGAGAGGGAGCTCTGGTAGCTAGTGCCTAAGGCACTTGACTGTTAACCAGAACGCTGGTGGTTCAAACCCACCAGCCACTCCAAAGAAGGAAGATGGGGCAATCTACTTCCATAGTGATACTGCCTCGGAAACCTAAGGAGGGGTCACTATGAGTTGGGTCCAACTCAACGGCACACAACAACAACAACTTAAGAGTAAAATAGGATCAAAGGAAGAAATTGTTTTAGGTGAAGGGAGATCTCATCTAGTTTGTGGGCTAAAGGAGAAGAAATATCATTACCTTGAATGTAGAAGGTACTTAAACGTATACTAAATGTGCTCATGAATAGGAATGAATATGAAGAAAAGTCAAGAGGAAGAGGATACTTTATGAGGCCAGGCCCTAAAGCTAATGAGAAGAGATATATTACAACTTCAGGTAAAGAGTTCCACATTGGAATTTTCATAACTGCTCTTTTGATATAGATAAGAAGGACTCATGATACAGAAACTGTTTGATCAAGATGGGAGAGTGTTAGGAGGTTTATATCAACAGCCTCCAACCTTCCCAGAAAATGAGGTGGTTAGGATGTTCTGTTTGTTTGCTTGTTTGTTTTCAAACAATAATGGAGAAAGGGGATTTAACCAGAGTAACTGGCCAATCTGTTTCCTTAGAGATACCACCTCAGAAACACAAAGAGGGGTCACTATGAGTCACCATTGACTTGATGGCAGAGAGATTGGTTTTGTTGATTTAACAACAAAATAATGGAGTAAGGAATCAACTAATGAAATTAATGTCAACTAGTGAAAAGATTAAATAAAATGGAATGCATAAAGATAGATATCCTAAGCATTAGTGAGCTGAAATGGATGTTTCTGGCTATTGTGAATCAGACAGTCATATGATCTACTATGCTGGAAATGACTGAAGAGTAACAGCATGGCATTCAACGTCATAAAGAATCTTTCAAGATCTATCCTGAAGTACAATGCTGACAGTGATAGGATAATATCCATATGCCTACAAGAAGACCAGTTATTACTACTATTATTCAAATTTACATACCAACCACTAAAACCGAAGATGAGGAAATTGAAGATTTTTACCAACTTTTGCAGTCTGAAAATGACCCAACCAGCAATCACCATGTATTGATATTACTGATGATTTGAATACAAAAGTAGAAAACAAAGAAGAATCACCAGTAGTTGGAAAATAAGGCCTTAGTGATATAAATGATGCCAGAGATCACTGGATAAAATATTGTAAGACCAAAGATTTATTCATTGCAAATACCTTTTCTTTTTTCGACATAAATGGTGGCTATACATGTAGACCTAACCAGATGGAACACACAGGAATCAGATCAACTACATCTTTGGAAAGAGGTGATGGATAAGCTCAATATCTTCAGCCAAAACAAGGCCAGAAGCTGACTGTGGAAAATACCATTGACTGCTCACATGCAAGCTCAAGTTGAAGCTGAAGACAGTTAAAACAAGTCCATGAGAGCCAAAATATGACCTTGAAAATAACCACCTGAGTTTAGAGACCATCTGAAGAATATATCTGACACACTGAACACCAATGATGAAAAACTAAATGAATTGTGGGATAACATCAAGACCATCCATGAAGAAAGCAAAAGCTCATTAAAAAGAAAAGACCAACATAGATGTCAGAAGAGACTCTGAAATTTGCTCTTGAATGGAGAGTAGCTAAAGCAAATGGAAGAAATGACAAGATAAAAGAGCCAAACAGAAGATTTCAACAGGTAGCTTGAGAAAACAAAGTCTAGATGGGCAAATATAATGAGATGGGCAAAGAACTAGAACTAGAAAACCAAAAGGGAAAAACACGCTTAGCATTTCTGAAGGTGAAAAGAGTGAAGAAAAATCAAACACTGATTTGCAATAATGGAAGATTCTATGGGCAAAATATTGAATGATGCAGGAAGCATCAAAAGAAGATGGAAGGAATACATATAGTCACTGTACAAAAAAGAATTTGTTGATATTCATCTATTTAAGGAGGTAGCATTTGATCAAGAACCAATGGGATTGAAGGAAGAAGTTGAAACTGCTTTGAAGTAACTGGTGAAAAACAAGGGTCCAGGAATTGACAGAATACTGATTGAGATATTTCCATAAATGGATGTCATGCTGGAGGCACTTACTTGTCTATGCCAAGACATTTGGAAGACAGCTACCTGGCCAACTGACAGGAAGAGATCCATATATGTAGCCATTCCAAAGAAAGGTGGTCCAACAGAATGTGGAAATTATCAAACAGTGTCATTAATACCAAATGCAAGTAATTTTTTGCAGAAGATAATTCAAAATCAGTTGCAGCAGTATATTGACAGGGAACTTCCTGAAATGCAAGCTGGATTCAGAAGAGGACATGGGACAAGGGATATCACTGCTGATGTTAGATGGGTTTTGGCTGAAAGAAAAGTATAGCAGAAAGATTTTTACTTATGTTTTATTAACTATGCAAAAGCATTCGACCATGTGGATCATAACAAATTATGGGTAACATTGAGAAAAATGGGAATGCTCAAACACTTAATTGTGCTCATTAGGAACCTGTACACAGGAGGCTGTGGTTCAAACAGAATAAGGGGATACTGCATGGTTTAAAATCAGGAAGGGTGTGTGTCTGGTTTATATCTTTTTACCATACTTATTCATTCTGTATGGTGAGCAAATAATCCAAGAAGATGGATTACATGAAGAATGCAGCATCAGGGTTGGAGGAAGACTCATTAACCATGTGCACTATGCAGCTGATACAACCTTGCTTGCTGAAAGTGAAGATGACTTAAAGCACTTACTGATGAATATTAAAGATTACTGTCTCCAGTGTGGATTACAACTCAACATAAAGAAAATGAACATCCTTACAATTGGACTGATACACAGTATCATTATAAATGGAGAAAAGATTGAGTTGTCAAAGATTTCATATTACTTGGATCCACAATAACCGCCCATGGAAGCAGCAGTCAAGAAATCAAATATTGTATTGCACTCAGCAAATCTGCTACAAGAGACCTCTTTAAAGTGCTGAAGAGCAAAGATGTCACTTCAAGGACTAAGGTGCGCCTAATCCAGCCATGGTACTTTCAATCACCTCATATACATGTGAAAGCTGGACAACAAATAAGGAAGACGGAAGAAGAGTTGATGCTTTTGAGTTGCAGTGTTGGCAAAGAATACTTAAAGTATTAACAGATCTGTCCTGGAAGAAGTGCAGCTGGAATGCTGCTTGGAAGCAAGAATAGCCAGACTTCATCTCACCTACTTTGGTCGTGTTGTCAGCAGGGACTATTCCCTGGAGAAAGACATCATGCTTAGTAAAGTGGAGGGTCAGTGAAAAAGGGGAAGACCCTCAAGGAGATGGACTGAGACAGTGGCTGCAGTGATGGGCCCTGGAAGAGCAAGGATGTGAGGACTGGGCAATGTTTCATTCTGTTGTACATATGGTCACTATCAGTTGGAGCTGACTCAACAACAACAACAAGAGTGAAAAGATTGACAGAAGACATGAGGAACCTAGCAAACTCACAGCACATTGGGTGATCTGGATTTGTTTTAGATGTTGCATAAAAATTAGATTTTGCTTCTTAAATTCTGTAAAAAAATTTCCAATATACTTTTTTGATGTTAACATGTTATATCTTTTTCTGTCTTTCTAAAATATGACTCAAATCAATAAAGCTAGACATATTTTTGGCATTATGGATTAAATAAGTCTCAGCATTGTTTACATTTAACAATAAAAAATTGGAGTTCGATATGAATTCATTGATTCTTATGGAACAATGACCAAAATAATTTTTACCCACTGCCATTGAGTCAATTCTGACTCATAGTGACCCCATAGGAAACAGAAGAGCTGCAGCATAGGGCTTCCTAGGCTTTAGTCTTTAGGGGAGTAGATTGCCAGATCTTTGTTCTTTAGAGTGGCAGGTGGTTTTGAACTGCTGAGTTTTTGGTTAGGAGCTGAGTGCTTAACCAACGCTTTTAAAACATCACCAGGGCTTGTTAAAAGCCCTACTCAGTGTATCTGGAAGAGTTAGAATAGAAAATAAATAGCTTTGATGTCCTTAAAGGGCTTAAGAATGAGATGCTCAAATTATTGAAATAGTGGGATATTCTGTGAATCCATAATAAGAAAGAACATTTTAAGTAAAAAGAGATAGAATTTTTACATTGTAGAAGAAAAACATATCATTTAAAGCATTGTATATATTAAAAGATAACTGGCATGTTTAGACTTCTTTCATTATTTTGTTATTCTTCCCTGTGTTTACTATGATGTTTATGCAAATGATTTTATACAATTGATGCTATGCATAAAAGTAAACTAGTGGCTAAGCTAGTTTATTTTCATTGCATTCATTTAAAAATATTCAGAAAGTATTGTCTTAACAGAAATTCTTAAATGAATTCAAGGGAGAGTTGTAATTTTTTAAAAAGAAGTCAATAGAAGTGATCTTGGATTGAAAGAATCATACTTTTTTCTTCTTCCTAATAATTTCTATTTGTATAAAAAAGTTATCACTTTTATTACAAAACAGGTTAACATTTTAAAGAAAAAACAAAGTAACATTTTACTGGTTTTAAGAGGACTCTGAGATAGAATGAAAGGTTATTGGGCTTGAAGTTTGATGTTCTAGAATCAATTCCTGCCTCTGTCCCTTACTGGTGTTGACACTTGCCAAGTCACATGACCTCTGTGTCTCAGGACACTACTCTATAAAACAATGACAATATTACTTAAGTCAAATAGTTGTCATTAGCACCAATGGTCATAATATTTGGAAATTAGTCTGTAAACAGTAAATGACCATACTAGTAAAATATACTGTTAAGGTGTCATTATCCTCTTTTAATGAATAATTTTTAGGGAGGAATAATTTTTAGGGCTCCTGTGAAGTGGGAGCTGAAAGGAACAAAATGGAATGGATGTTTTAGAATATTTTACCCAAGTTGGAAAAGTGGTATTTTCCTGTTGCAGAGGATGACATGGCAGAAGGGGAGACCAGAGGCGACTGGTTGCCAGTATCCTGCAGCCCTCCAGTAGAATGAGAACGCAACCATTCTTTGCCCTCTTCTTGGTTGGCCTGCCGAGATGACGGGGTATATCTGCAAAACACCACAGCTAAGACACTTAAGAACATTCACAAGGGCAAGGCAATCTCAGGACGGAAAACAATTGAATAGAGCTTACTATTCAGACTGAACAGCATTCTCAAACAGATTGAACCTAATTATAATTGCTTAGTTCTTCCAGATGATTTGACACCATCTGTTTGAATCTCACAGGAAAAAAAAAATAAAGAGTTCTTAAAAAGAAAATTATGCTTCTGTGAGATATGAATTTGAAAATCATAAGCAATGAGCAGACACCCAAGTTAATTGAGGTGAACTCAGAAGCACAGTGCTTGGAAGGATGTGGAAAGGGTGAACAAAGGTTAAAAATGGTGGACAGTGGTAGGCCAGAAGCCAAATGAAGTAGAATCATGGTCACAGAAAGGCATTGGAAATGGAACACAAATTGGCAACTATGAAGAAAATGAAGAAGGAAAAATATCCCTTTGGTTAAAATGGATTAATAAAAAGAGAAGGGAACATATGCCCACTTTATTAGAAAACTAATTTCTGGAACACTATCTTTGGGGACAGAGTAAGTGCCCAGTGTTTGCTACTGCTAACCAATTGGAGAGGAAAGGATTACAGGGAAAAGACCTATTTTGGCCAGTACTCACTGTTTTACCAGAGTAAGTACATTCTTAAAACCAAAGAGCATTAGCTGGTCATGTTCATACAGAGTTACTCCTCTATTAGGAGTTTACTCTATATCCCCTCCACAGATAAAAGCATGCAGCAAAGGATGGTCATGGATGAAAATTTCATTTCCTTTTTTTTAATCACGAAATGAATACTTATTCAGTGATTATTATCTGATACTCGACTAAGAATATTTCAAATTCACTGTTACCCTTGAAAATAGAAATTACCCTAACATTGTTTTGTTTTTGCCAAAAGAATTCTTTAAAAATCATACCTTAATTAGATTGTCTGTCCTCTGATGATGAAAATGTTTTCTTTGATTCAAATTAGAGCATCCTTCAACCTTTCAACATCACTGGCCACATCTGTAGACTATATGGCTTTTGAAATTTTGCAAGCATATGCCTCCAAGATGCAAAAGTTAGGCAAGTTAACTTCATTTTAATTTCCAGGAGTGAGTTTTGTATTCTACCAAAGGTTGCTGCCCAAAGAAATGTAATGTCTGGGACATGTCCTGTGAATTGTCTTATTATTTCCAAATAGTGGTATTTACATTAGGTTTAATTTACTTCGATCATTGGCCCCTACCAGTGTCTCTATCTGAGCACTATCTCACTAATTCTTTAGCGTAGAGAAAGCATTAGGATTTAAAATGGTTTCATCCTCAATGCCAGGTGCTACATGGCAAACAAACAAAGAAAGAGTAAGAGAGACAGCACACAAATTTTACATAACAACAAAGAAATGCAGCAATTGTGCTGAGAGAAATATATACCTTAGTCCCTTTTTGGGTAGTGTATTTCTGTCAAGCTGCATGCTGTTAAAACAAAGAAAACCCCTAAGGACATAATGTAAACAAAACTTCCAAAGTACACATCCAACAAAAATGGTTCTCTCTGAACCACACAAAATAATTTTTTGTAACACATACTTAATGCTTAACTCATTGGAAAAGGCTGAGCCAAGGGTGACCAGATGTTCATTTCTGTAACACATGTGAACTTCTTTCTAAGTCAGTACCATTCAACTATAATTTAGTAACAAGAGCATCAAAAAAAAAAAACCTTTAAATCATATGTTACCATAATTCTGTTCGGATTCTATTTATCTAATGCTTCATGTGACTGACTAGACTTCTGGTTTGATTTCACATGCAGGAAAATCACAGAGGTAACTATGAGATAGACTTTCTCTAGTTAGAATAATAAATTAGTTCTAAGTTAGAACGACAAGTTCCAATGGGTAGAGAAGATGTAATATTTTGTCTTTTAAAATATTTTTAATTAAATTAAGGGCAGATTCTTTTCTCATTTACATAAAAAGAAGAAAAATAATACATAATGGGTGTCAGCTTAAAATTCAATGTTTTGCCATCATTTATTTAAACATTTCAATGTTTAAATATGCCACCTTTTAGAAATTATGAATTTGGTATTAAAAGGGCTATGTTTCTCTATTTTAAGTAATTTTCAATTGTGCATAGGAAAGGATAACAGGATGTGTAAAAGAAAATGAGGGGAGCCTTTCAGAAAAAGCCGTAAATGGTGTCTGTTAACAACTAAATAGGGCTAGTGTAAGAATTTTTGTTATAATCTCTCGTGTATGGATAATTAAGGAATAAAATTCATTTGGATTTGCCAAATTGTAGCTCTCTTCCATTAAAATCTCAAATGATCAAAATTAAATACACAGGAAATGCATAATGGGAATGATATAACATGAATGCAAACACATTGACTTAAACTTATCTCTCAAAATCAAAGCTAAAATGTTTTCTTCTATTTTCACTCCATTATTTAGCACTGCAACAGAAAGCATCCAAAGCCATTATACAACTTTACCTTTATGTACTGGCAATGCCCACATAATTAAAAAATATATTATATAGAAGTCTATTCTTATATTATATCTCAACTATAGAAGTTTTCAGTTATGTGGACAACAGAAAATAGGAAGGAAGGAAGGAAGGAAGAAGGGAGGGAGGAAAGAAAGGAAGACATCACATTGAACAAATAGAGGGACCTCCAGATATGAACTACTTCTTGCTCAAACATTAATACAATCATAGCTGTTTTAAAGATCATCTCTTATGTGTCCACATTTATAAGAGTTTAATGTTGCAGAGAAAATTGAAAATAGGCATTTTTGCCAGTGTTAACCAACTGGTTTTAAAATAACAGGCTTATATGATACTGAGATACTTAATGAAAGAAAAATCAGAAAACAAATTCATTTAAATTGAACCAATTAAAGTCTTAAATATGACCAAATGTGGATAATAATGATTTTATAATGTAGACATTTCCCACAAGCCCTCAAGTCACAAACTATGCCTCCATGGATCCAGCTTGGAGTGAAAGGCCAGTGAAAAGAAGGAAGGAGAGATAGGCACCGCTTGGCTAAAGGAGTGGGAAATCAAGACTGCCAGATTTTCTGACTTGTAAAGACAAGCCACAATTCTGAGTTCTTATGGAACTGCCCAGATGTGTAAAGTTGCTGACCACCACACAATTTTTCAACTGTGATTATACTACAAAAAAAAAAAAAGTGTACTTTTTATGGTCCAATGGCCACCAGTGATCTGGAACAGCTACAGAGAGAAAGCTGTTAAGGAAGGTATGTATATACGTATTTTCTTATTATTTTATTCTCTTAATTAACAGGAATTTGAATGAAAATTAAATTTTCATAAAATATTATTGATTTAATTGCACTAAAACAATCAAACAAAAAACCACTGCCCTTGAGTGGATTCTGACTCACAGCAACCCTGAGGTAATTTTTAAAATTATGTAGACAACAGAGTAGAACTGCCCCAGAGGGTTTCCAAGGCTGAAAGTCTTTCTGGAAGTGAACTGTCACTTCTTTCTCCTGTGGAGTCAGGGTGGTAGGTTCAAACTGCCAGGAGTCCTGGTGACACAGTGGTTAAGCACTTGGCTGCTATTAGATTTCTACAGTGCAAATCTATACTGACTTCTAAAATACAGATCAGATTAGTCGTTGGAACTCACCAGCCCCACTCCACAGGAAAAAGATGTGGCAGTTTGCTACCACAAACATTACAGCCTTGGGAACCTTATGGGGCAATTCTACTCTGTCCTGTAGGTTTGCTACAAGTCATAATCAACTTGATGGCAATGGGTTTAATGTACTAGACTAGAAAAATCAATAAACTATTCTAAAATTTTAGATAAACACGTAAGTCATAACCTTATGTACATCACTATTATATATCTCTAGTTAATTTCCCTTAGATATTTACACTTTAACACACTTTCTCTCAGGTATGACTCTAGTTTCCTTCTTTTTCCCCACATTTTGCTGACTGCTGAGGTATAATTAAGCTGGGATTACAAATGAGATCTAATTGTTTTCTTCAGTAGGTTAAAAATTTTTTTGAATATACTTTAAAAAACATATTAAACTGATATTTCTTGGAATTTTGTTCTCAGGAAAAGATAAATAACAACTTATAATATAAAAAATTGTTTCAATCCAGTTTACTGGAAAGAACTAATTGATAATTGTATCATATACCACAGCTATGAAGATAATTAAAATTCACTCTTTGCAACTAAATAGTCATCAATGTATTTAATTAAGAATCAAGGACAAAATATTAATTTATTCAAAATTATTTTATTTAAAATTAATTTTAGAAAAAAATATATATTAGAACAATATATATTTAAATATTAGAATATTCCTTTTATAAAATTGGTCTGTTTAAAAATCTGAACAATGAAAAAGATCTCCTTAAAGGAAATAAGTAACTGCACAGTTGTTATTAGATTTATATAGTGCAAATCTATACTGACTTCTAAAATACAGATCAGAGTAAGATACTAAAATTGCAGTTAGGTTATATTTATAAGACCCATCAAACTGGCCATCTGTCTTTGATCTGAGGATTGCTTTGTCACAAATAGTTATTTGGCAGTTTTTCCTAAGCCTTTAATGTCTGAATGGCAAAAAAATAAAAAAATAAAAAAAATGGGTTGATGGCCAAAGGACCGATATCCTTTAGAGTTTGGTTATCAGATTATTTGCATTCCTCACATAGTAGTAGACAATCTAGAATACGTTTATTAAAACTATAAATTACTAATAATGTATTTTCAAGGTAATTTAATTTACTTGGACATTCTGAAAATGGCAAGTGAGGATACCCATTTACTATAAAATTGCTAAATGTAGACTCTAAAGAGCTGTAGGAAGCCTAACTTCTTAGATTAAAATAATATTAGTGATAAAACAAGACATACTAGTTTTTACATGTAGTGTCTATAACAGTAGAACCAGAAGGAAAGTGGGGGAGCTCTGGTGGCGTAGTGCCTATGCTGCTAACAAGAAGGCTGACTGCTAACATATCCACCAGCTACTCCTTAGAAGGAAGGTTGAGCAATCTATTTCCATAGTGAAAGTGGGATGCAAATGTCTACATTTTAGTTTGTATCATCCAGCTGTTGTCATATTTCTTTTGGTCCAGTTTTTTTTTTAAGAGTAAAAATGTATTTTGTAATTAATTAATTTGTAGCCCAACATAACAAGTATCAAGCATCAACATTTCAGTTAGTTCTATTTTCTTTTTTTTGTTTAACCAAGAGAAAATCCCATTTGTATAACTTTATACACCTTGCTATGGGCAATAAAAATTAGAGTGGGATTGAACCAACTTGAAGAAACAACATTTCACTCTGTGTTTTGTATTATTTCTCAGGGATCTCTGGTGGTACAATGGTTCAGCGCTTGGCTGCCGACCAAAAAGTCAGTAGTGGTTCAAACCCACCAGCCATTCCACAGGATCATAAAGATTACAACCTTGGAAAACCTATGAGGTACTCTACTTTGTCCCATAGGGTCACTATGACTTTTCTTTCTTTTCTTGTTTTTTTTATTTCACAAAAGTAAGAGAAATGGGTAATCTTAGACTAAGGAACAATTCCTGGTATAATATATAAAGAGGTTAAGTTAGGACTAGGAAAAAGGCTAGAAATCCAGAAGAAAGGAAATAGGTCCCATCACTATCAGACAGAAAACGAGTTTAGGGGAAATCACTGGTGTTTTCAATGGCCACTGTGCTTCCACAAATACCACACTTTAGGTATGTGGCCAAGATAGGTATTTTTTTTTTCCCCCAAGATAGTTTTTGAAAGCTTTTTGTGTGCCAAGAGTCAAATAATATTAAGGTACATCAGGGAGAAAGTGGTAGTTTTGTGACATTTTCCAAGGGGTAAGAGTCAATATCAAACTTTCTTAGAAAATGTTTCTCTTGAGGGAGAATTTAGTCATTTTGCTCAAACTGGTAGGAATATTAAGGTAAGAAATACCTTGTTATATTTTGCACTTTAAATTATTAAAAAAAAAAACAAAAACACAAAAAAACTCATAAAACCAATAGGAAACACCTTGTAATATGATATATTTTCAAGGCAAGTAATGAGAAATGTCACTGGGACTGTAGGTTTACCTAAGAGTTCACGGCTGACAATAGATTTTTATTCCCCATTCTACTAGGATTCCTAGCAATCCATTTGTTATTTTCCCAAAGAAGCACTAATAAAGCAAATTCAACATACCACTCGGGGCATAGTAGTGGAATCTTTTTAACTTTAGTCTTTTAAATGCTTAAATAACTACAGGGAACTTGTGTTGTTCTAAGGAGCTCTAGTGATGTAGTGGGTAAGGCATTTGGCGGCTAGTTCAAACCCATCAGCTGCTCAGTGGGAGAAAGATGAGGCTGTGCACTGTAAAGATTTCAGCCTTGGAAACCCAGTAGGGGTCGCTATGAGTTGGAGTCAACTCGATGGCAGTGGGTTTGGGTTGTGTTGTTCTGGCGCTAAAGTCAAGTCATTAAAATGTCTTGAGAAGACATCACGAAATACATAAATACATGCTTTGAATTTTATTCAAATTGCCTACTGGATATGCATGTATGCACTCATATAAAGAAACTTAATATCCAATCATCTTACACTTTCAATCTTCTGCTAATTTGGTAGTAAGAATAAATAAAAGGCCCAGTCTCATCAAACTTCTATCTCTTTGCATGGTGGCAGACCCACTGAAATCAAGGAGATTTGGAGGGTTAGTCATGGGGAAGGGGAGGATAAGGACTTCATTAATGCCTCCAGGAAATCTCACCTTTCTGAAAGAGTAGATCTCACACTACCCGTTCTCATGAGCAGGCTCTGAACCTCGTGAGTGCCTGTGGTCAGTCCAGACAGGGAGCCATGATGGCTGAGGGGGAGGTCAATGGACTCAGAGCTCGTATGGAGGCTAGTCATGGACTGGTAACTCGGAGTGTCCTTGCTGCCAGCAGAGGAACTGCTCAGATTGGCAGCCCACACGAGACCACCTGATGTGAAAGAGTGAACCGATGCTGGGCTGGAAGCCAACGAGTGACTTAAGCTTATAACATCTGTAGTTAAGTCTGAGGGTTTATTGAAGAGAGGGCTGCTGCTGCCACTTAGCCCACCAGCACTGCCCATGCTGCCCGTACCAGACGATGGAGATTCCAGACTGCCTTGCCGCGCTAATGTGGTACTAGGACTGGGCATTACTGAGGAGGATTTCACACCCTCAGTATTAGGTGCAGAGGCAGATTTGCCACCTGCCTTGGCACCAAACAACCTAAAAGAAAAACAAATAACAACTTCAGTTGTTCCAAGAAACTAATATCCACATTTAATATTTAGGGTTATAGCACACAGAGCCAAGCGTGCTTTGGTGTACTGAGCTACCAAGCACTTCCTGTCTCTATGTTAATAGACTTAATATTAATATTAGCTTGGACTTCTTAATCAAGTGTTGAGAATCTTTCCTATCACCAGAGGGGTAAGTCAGTAGTGGACTGCTACTGGGGAGTAGGGGAAGAGGGCAAAACAGTAGTAAGTCAAACATGAAAATCCCTGACTTTCACAATTTTAAGTGCTCATGAGAATCCTTTTTGCAAATATAATAGTTTGACCACGCTTGCTGTTCCCTATTTACAGAACCATTATAATGAAACAACTTCTACGCTTTCGATATATAGTACTTACGAAGGATTTTTTGTTGTTTTGCTTTTCTTTTATGTTTAATAGTTTATTCAAAATCTAAAGGGATGCACAAGGCAAAGTTAAGGTGATTAATGTTGCATAACTGGTAGCCTGAGTGACTGTCAGGGAGTAGGCGGTTAGACACAGTGTTGGACACTGCTGGTAACATGTCAGTTTGCCATATCCCCTAGAAAAGACCAACAGGTTTAGGTCAGTTGCCAGTGGTACGTAACTGAATATTTATAAAATAGAGTTGGTGCTACAGTTATATGTTGGAGTTTAGTTCAGAAAACATTTTAGTTTTGTAAGTGAAGCAAATGATATAGTTGAACTTATGTAAATATGGAAATAAAGTGATATGAAGTAATGGCACAATGATTACTATTTAAGTTTCAATGAAATCCATATTTCCTATAGTGAAATATTTTATGACGAATATGAGAAATTGTTTCATAGGTAATGGGCCACAGGAGGGCACTGTTCACTTTAAATTTAAGCAACAGGAATATTTATGCTCACTCCAAGCCATTATTTATTTTTTCCAATGAGAACCAATATTTCTAAAACCTCATTCTTCTGAATTAATATTTCTACTGAGGACTATAATCTCTAGATTGTTCAATCATGTATCCAAGATGGCTTGAAATGTAAAGGTAAATGTTTCAAGCCCCTTTATTTCCAAGCTATCAAAGTTTTTGGTTTAGTCATTAGAATAAGAACAGACATTAAAAGATCTTTAATATAATGGATGATAAATCATATTCCATTGTTTTAAAGATGAAGAAACAGTCCCACAGAGGTTTAACAAATTTTCTCAAATCTTTATCCGTTTTCCTGTCACTTAAAACACACTGGTATTTAAAAACAGGGATCTCTAGAGCAGAACTAGACATAGTCAATACCAAAGACAGTCCCAGTGTAGAAACCAAGTTGTATTGTGTACCTCAGTTATGGTTTAGAAAGCTGATAGCAAGGTAGACCACTCTAGTTTTTAATCCTGTACTAAATATCTGAATATTTTTAAATTCTGCTAATCATATCATATTGTTATATTATTTATTATAAATATCAAGATATGACACTGTTTTAAAATTCTCTCAATCATACCATGCTTTGATTTTCTTTACTATGGCAAAATATAAACTCACTGCCTTCGAGTCAAAGCCGACCCACAGCAACCCCTCCTTGGGTTTCTGAGGCATATCTCTACAGAAGTAGATTGCCTCCTTCTGAGGAGTGGCTGGTAGGTTTGAACCACCAGCATTCTGGTTAGCTCTCAAATGCCTTAGGCACTATGCTACCAGAGCTGCATGTCAAAATATAGTACTATACAAAAATATTCAGTATAACCTGTTACAAGAAATACTTCTCTTACATTCATGATCATCAACTCATTGATAGCTAGCAAGATAATGAATATTGGAAATGAATCCTAATAGTTATAAAGACCCATTTTGCTTTGTTTGTTAATTATGGAAGTGAGGGATGGGACTCGATGGAAATTACACGTTATTACTTTATCACTACCTCTGGATATTGTTATCTGCTTTTAAGTCTCTATGCTGTTTGTGTTACAAAAATCACTATGATAGTGCAAACAGGATGTCTGGACATTTCTTAAAATGAGCACCAATTTTTTGTTAACTATTTACATGATCAGCTTCTTAGAACTCACTGCACTTCAGAAACTAAATACAATAAAACTAAATAAAAATTAAATTATATCCATCTGTCTATGTTAGAATATATGTATCCTTTTATATTTTCCCAGTGCCATCTCACGCATCCTTACCTTCTAAATGTAGGTGAGGCAATATCAGGATACTTGGATCCTGGCTGCCTGAGGCCTTGTGTCCCACAGGCACTAGCAGATGTAGGGCTGGATTTGGGGGAACCTGACAAAGAAACACTCTCTGAATCAGAGACTGCTACTTTTTCCTTTTCCTTGTCTGTCTGATTGACAGTGACAGGACTGGAGCGCCCTGATCCAATCTTGGTTGGCTCTCTGAGTTTCGAGGTGGTGGCACCAGCCGATTTGCTGCTGACGTTGGAATCAATACTGCTGGTACTGGATCTGTGGCCACCTCGGCCAGGAATGCCACTGGTGCTGGATTTCGAAGGGCGGGGCAAGCTGCGATACTGCAGCGTGGTCTTGGAGTTTACGTGCAGCACAACATCGTCTTGATTCTGTGAACCATCCAAACTGGTTTTTCTCCCTGCATTTGATTTCCCACCAATGGCAGCAGACTTGGGAATTTTACCCAGTGTTGCAGAGCCACTCGTGATGGTTGCTCCGCTGGCAGTGATCATAGTAGATGACCCTACTCCACTTGGTTTCTTAAATCCAAAAGATCCAGTGGCAGTAGATCTTCCAATGCCTGAGGGTGGCTTTTTCCCCTCATCTCCACTGCTTTTCCCTGCATCTGAAGGAGACCTTTGTAGAGATGATCCTTTCAAGGGAGTTTTCCCTTTCTCAGAAGCTTTGGCATCATCAGTTTTCCCTAATTAATGATAAATACACAAATATAGGTATCTGTACATTTTAATACCATAATACTTTGTTAAATAATGTATAAAATGTGAATGCTTCTTTTTACTACCTCAGTTCATAAATGTTCATTGTTTTGGATCTAAACAGGCATTCACTCTAATATACTGAGAAAACTGAGTGCAAATCTACAGAATTATAGATGGCAGAGGAAATGCTATGAAAGATAAAGGAGATAAAACACTTTTTTTTTTCTTTGCTATGTAGTAATGTCTTGTATCTTGCAACTCTTTCTTTATAAAGATAGCACCTAATTATATAAAGCTAAGTGCTAGAAAGAGAATTCATTTGAATTCCTGTGAGATGATTATATTTGGGGTACCATATTAGATCAGTACTTCAGGTGGCACTATTTAAAACTAGATACTATTTAAAAAGCAGTTAGTGAGAGCATCTTCAAAAAAAGAAAAAGATAGTACCATTTCGCAGAATTATCTCCTTCTCTTTTTTTATAAAGCCTAATTCACAAACAAGACTGAATCTCCAATATCTCAATCCTTTAAATTAGGGGAAGTGTTTTGAAACACTTTGTAGTAAAACTCTGGAATCCTTGACAAAAAAAAAAAAAAAAAAAAAAAATTCCAAGCTTTTACAAGGAAGGCAGAATGAATGCAATATTATTTACTAAGTAGTCTTATTTTACTTCCACATGACTAGAAATGACCATAGCAAAATGTGAAGACATGCAGCAGCCCTAAATCAGGAGGGTGCTCTCTACGAAGGATGCCTAGATTGTTATGTTCATGTGGGCTTTTATGAGCATGTGCATAAATTTTAGATAGGAAAAAAATCTTTACATGGACAAGAATCTCATTAAAAAGGGAGAAATTATTAAACAGAACAAAGGCTGAATGAAAACAAGAAATTAAAACACTTTCACATAACAGCTGCCAAACCACAAGCCTACCAGGGGTCTTGAGTGCACTTGTTCCAGTTTTCTGCCTGGGTGGTGTTCCTCCTTGGGCAGACATGCCCCTTCTCCAAGAACCTGACTGTGAAACCGACAGGGAGGTTTTCTGCCCGGCCTTTTCAGGGTCTTCAGGAAGCCCCGAGGAAACCCCCTTCCACTTGCCACCAGCATCCCCATGGCTGTCAAGGTCCTCTTCCAATTTTTTCAGCTCTTCAATACTATCCCAGGTCTCATCGGTTGCAGAACGTTTTTCTGAGTCTGTCTTCAGCTACATAGAAAATATTACAGGAAAACTTTATGTAGAAGAATCTATGAAGTGAGAATTAAGGCACTGGAATAAACTTTCAGATAACTGGTAAAGAAGAAGCATAGCTTTATATTTCAAAACAATTCTAAAAATTGCTCTATTTTTACTTAAGTTTCATTAATTCTAGTCACTGAATTCTCACTTGTACATAATAGAGGATGTCAGAATAAATATATACAGAAAACCCTAATTAAATGCTTCAGAGATGAATGGATTTTCTACATGAGGCAAAATAAAAATTATTTAATATCCATTCTTTACTTACCACTCATAAGAGATCCAGTCCTTCCTTTCAGAGATCAATAAAAAAATTAATCAAGAACTATGCAAAATTAGACTATTAAGATGTTTATTAGATTTTGTTAACAACCCTATTATGAGAGACATGGTTGTTCTGGGTAATAATGTAATCAATAAAAAATACCTGATTTAGATGATTCAAAATAGCCTCAGGTGCATATTGTACCCTAGTCTCTAGGGAAAACTAGGATAAAGATATTTTAGGGGTAGGGGAATCAAAGGGAGTCCTGCCTCATCCATTGTATACAATTATTTCAGGTTAAAGTATCACACTATATTTTAAACTTGTTGATTAGTTAGGAGCCATGTAGTAGGCTCAGAGTCATAGAGACTCTACGTGCAATAGAATGAAATTTCACCTGGTTATGTGTCATTCTCATAGTCATTGCTATGTTTCAGCCCATTGTTGAAGCCACTGTGTTAATCCATTTCTTTGGGGCGGGGGGAGTGTCTTCCTCTTTTAAACTAATAAAATTTGAGAAAAAAAATTGGCAGTAGTACTAGAAAAAGAAATAAGGCAATACTTACCTGAGTATTCTTTCTGGAAGGGACGGTGATGTTGGAATAAGAGCTAACTGAGGACGTGGTGTTCAGGTCATCGGTGCTGATGTTATCGAGGGTGTCACTGAGACCACTGCTCACAGAACTGCTGTCATCCCAGCTAAAGGCAAGATAAGGAGCCACAATTACACACAGGATACACAATGCAAGTCACCTACATTCCCCTACAACATTTACCATGAATTTGAAAGACTGTTTTGATTCACTTTCCAGTTTTGGGAAAGCAAATTTATAATAATTGAATGTAGACCTTAAACTAATCATATCTGATATTTCAAAAGAATCAGCATCTAGAGTAACTCTGTATTCTGAAGAAATGTTTGTTGGAATGAATGAAAGCACTACTACAAATATCACATGGTATCAGGGTAGAATAACATTATAGCTGACTTTTTATTTTTATTTTCCTGAAAAAGTAATCAGAAATCACAACACATATAAGAATTTATCCTTTGTTCTAAAAGCATAAAACCTTTCAGTCAAGAAACAGAAAGCCATGCTTTCTTCTTACTTCAATTTTAGTAACTATTTCCAATCATTCTTGAATATTGATATTCATTCGATCATATTATCCCTCTTGCCACTCCTTGTAATTTCTTCTCTGTTTGACAATACATTGCATTCTACTATCTGGCTTTCCTGCCTTTTACCCTTGCTGGTACAACTCCATCAGCAAAACCTGGGTCAATGATTCAAAACTCATATCTGACCATATCACTCCCCAGCTTAACACTCTTAAAAGACTCACTTTGCCAAAGCAGTAGAGTCCAAAATGGAACACACCTGCTCTACAGGGTGAAGAAGGCTATTCACTGCAGTGTAAGTTCTGAAATTCTGCATGTATTTGTGTTTGATTTAGAGAAGAACAAAGAAAGATTTATCAATATTCATGTGCAGGCTAACTTAGGTACCCTCACTTAATGCACTAGGTGATACAGACATAAATGAAGTAAGCAGTGTCCTCTGAAGGACAGGAAGCTTCGTGATGTGAAGGTGTGCATGCTGGATCTCTCATTTATTTACTGGATCTCAGCCTATTGTGATGGATTGCACCTTACCTGTGTTCTGTAAAATGAATTCATGCACACTGAATACAGATATTAGGTAGGCAAAAGTTAAGCCTCACAACATGGACAACTGGCTTAAAAACACACCCCTGTTAATAACCCACATCCTGAAGAAACGATTAATAATGAGAGCATAAGCAAACCACAAAGGAATGATAGTATTCCTGCTCTTGTATATGTACTTCATGAGTCACATCATAAATTCAAAATAATAATGATGGATTCAAATCACATATGAAATCACCTAAAAATGTAATCATCAAGAAAAAAGTTTGAAATTTGATTTATTGGGAGCTCTGGTAGTGTAGTGCCTAAAGCACTTGACTGTTAACCAGAAGGCTGGCATTTCAAACCCACCAGCCACTCATTGGAAGGAAGGTTGGGCAATCTACTTCCATAGTGATACCACCTCAGAAACCCAAGGAGGGGTCACTATGAGTTGGGTCCGACTCGATGGCAAATAACAACAACAATATGCTAATGATGACCCCTCCCTAGGTGTATATAGTTCTTTGGGATATTAGCTATGGATAGTATAAAGACATTTATAAATCAGATTATTATCCATAATAATTGCCTTTTTAATGAGACCAAAAGGGTATTCTGTACCATTGTAACAAATATCTTTCAGTTGTAGCTTCTGAAATT